GAGATTCAAAGCCTTTCTTAGTTTCTACTATATTTGTTTTTAGCTTCTCCTATTCTTTTAGATCATCTAGATTAGAAACTTGAGTTAGATCAAGAATATGAGCTAAATGAGTAAGAGTAACAATTAAAGGCATGTTAGTATGCATGTAGGGATAGCTTGCCATAAATGACATTCACTATTAAGCCCCTTTGAAATGTCTATTTGGACTATGTGCCAAAGCCAAATAATTATATTGGATCATCAATCTGTTGAACCACTAATTTTTCTTTGTTTAAATTTTTTTAAAATTCAATCATATCTTCTAATTACTTTTTATCTCTTCTTATACCCTTTCTATCTTTTGAAAATGAAAAGCTTATTCTTCTATCATAATTATGGCTTGATACGAAGATTGAGCTATCCTCGAACCTTTTTACAATAATTAGGATGATATGTTACTATATGCTAAAAATCATCATAACTTATTAGAAACATTCTTTTATATGCATGAATGAATAAATGAATGCCAGATTGAATATAATACATGACAATTCAATGACATGTGAATAGATAAATAAATGCATTCACATAATAATTTAATGATGCATGGATTGATAAATGACTACTTGAATGGATACATGAGTTAATGTTTATCTCATAATGATGCATGAATGGATACATAAGTTAATGTTTGCTTCATAATTATGCATAAATGATGAATGCATGCATTAATGCTAAATATACAAAAATTTAATGATGCATGGATGAATAAATGTATGAGTGCTGCATAACAACACATAAAAGAGTGAATAAAACTCAATCTCTTTTAACTTTATCATAAAATTCATACAAATGACACTACCAAAGTTCTTTCATGTGTTCTAACTTGTGTTACATTCTAATAATGGGTGGACATGGCTTTAACTTAAGATTGACTTTTTATGTTTTACTATATGTGGTTTGGATTAAAAGGTTCTCAAATTATTCTTTACATCATTGTCCATCATAAACTAGTAAGGGACTTTATTCCTTGCCCATCATAGGCTACAAGTGGAAAGAGTTTAATAAGAGTGGGAGTATTTTGCTAACCCATACGAAGACATGAAATCTCATGAAAGTATAAGTATTTTACTCTCTTTTAAAAGACGGAGCTTGGGTGTAAAGCTTATATTATTCAAATGCAAGTGAATGATAGAATATGGTATAATTAGAAACAAATAAAACGTTTAAAGAAAAATTCTTAATTTTAACTTAGGCTTTAAATAACACAAGTTTACTAGCCTGACTCTCAACTTTCCCCCGTAGAGTCACCAAACTATCATAACATATAAATCTATAGGCCTATAATTAGACTTGACTTTAGAAGTAGCCACCAATACTTTTTTAAGTGTGATTAGTCACCTAAGTGAATATGCCCCTTTTTAAAGAGAAATCTTAAGCTAAACTTAGGTATCTTTAAAAGGTAGATTTTATGTTTATGAAATCATGACTAGATTTGGGAGTATGATTATGTGTGAGAAAGGTTATAACACTCACACAACACCCATCAAATGATGGTACCAATTTGACAAGCTTAAAAATATTTTTGAATTTTTACCAAGTAAATTTAATTATTGAAAATTAATCTTAAAATTACTCTAATTGTTTGGTAGTGATTTAAGATAATTTTTTCATTTCAGGAGGATTCATAGAGACTCGTGTTCTACTTTGAAGAGGCTCCGTCATTGGATTCATTAACATATTTTTTAAGAAATTATTTTTTGAAAACAAATAATAAAATCCTCCAATCGTTTGGTAAGATTTTATATCAATGCATATTTCCCAATCATTTGGTGGGATTTTATTTGAAAACCTCGAAAAGTTTCTTTTGAAAAAAAAGTCATTAAATCCTCCAATAATTTAGTAAGATTTAACAAAAATTTGAATCTCCAATCATTTGGTAGGATTGAAATTTTATTTTTGAAAATTCATTATGAAATTCTCCAATCGTTTGGTAGAATTCGTAATTCAAGATTTAAATTCTTCAATCATTTGGTAGGAATCATGAATTCATTATAAAAATTTATTTTGAATATACATAAAAGAAGAAAGAGAAACAACTAAGTAACATAAATAAATATACAAATGAAGAAGAAAAAATAGAAATTACTTTATCTTTTTTTTCTTATTTCTCTACAAAACAACCTATGGTTTCACTAGCATCATTTGCCTTTAGTGATTGTCTTTTTTTTTTAATCAAATAGAAACCTAAAACATATATAACTGAAACCTTTGAAAATTTTGCTGCCAAAACTTTTTGTTGAATGTCTCCCTTTTATGTTTCTTCTTAACTCATTTTCCCAACACAAAACTCCCAAGAGAAAATATTAATTATCTAGACCTAAAACACCAAAAAGACTATAAAAAAACTCTTAATTTTTTTACTTTTTTTTAACTCTTTCTCTTTGATATTTTCTAATTGATTTTTTATTGTTTCTAATTGATCATAATGAGGTCTTTTTATAAACCTCTAATCCAAATCACAATAGGAGAATGTTTTTTTGGTTTCAATCTCCTAATTAAAATCAATTTTAGATTTTTAATCTAAGTCTACATCTCAAATAAATACATTCTATTTTTCAATTAAAATACTAGATTTCAAACCAAATCAAACTTTTTTTTTTGAAAAAAATCATAAATCAATTAATTAACAACATAAATAATCTTAAAACTAAATAAAATTCTAAAATTAAATAAAAAAAAACTCCAAACTAAATAAAGTATATATAATATTTAATTCAATTGATACTCGTTACATACTATAGTTTTGTTTTCTAAATAAGAAAGGATTAGAGTTCAAATATTAATTTTTAGATTAAATAGCAACATTAGTTCTTAAAATTTTTTATAATATTTTATTTTTATAACATTTAATTTTTTTATCTATAATCATTTGAATTTGTTCCAACATCAATCAATATCAATCATCCGTCAATGCTATGTTGTAATTTGAATAGAATAAGAAAAAAAACTTTTCACATAACACTAAAAATTTTCACATTGAGGTTTTAGTTTGTAAAAATTTCACACTAATGATAAAATTTACTTATAACTTCGATTATTCTCTAAAAAAATAGACTAAAAACAAGTTTTATTTGATGGAAAATTTTAGAACCTGCTTGTACATAGTATATGACAAATGTGAAAAGAGGAAATTAAAAATAAAGAAAAGTGGATAAAAAAATCCAAGTGGAATAAGATATAAAATAAAGTTATATAAATTATAAAATAAGTCTGTAGAGGAGTTGAGATTTGAAAGAGAAAGGACACCGCAAATCACGTTGGGACCGTGAACCAAGGCAAGCGGCGTGTGGAAATTTGGTTGTTCTTTCTTTTTTGGTGGTTAGTTTCAATTAATTTAATTAAAGAAAGGAAATTGGGAATATTAAAATTGAAGATTGAATTATAAATCTATGTTTTAGTGTCATTTTCAAGTCAACTATTAAACATTGTTACCACGTTAGTGCTATACGCATGTCATTCCCTTTGGATTTTTCTGTTTTTTTCATATGCCAAATCTTTGCCACCCATCTCTCACTATAATAATAATAGCAACCATAATAATAATAATGAAATTTTCAATTTTTTTTTATTTTTAAGATTTTCAAAAATTAATCTTATATTGAAATTGAAAATCCCAATATATTGGCCTCTAATAATTGATAATAATTGATTTTTTCTTTCCCTTTCAAACTCATCAAAGAGGGCTGCGACCTTACAGATAAAAAGTAGTATTATTTTGAGGTGTTCTTCGAAAAGAAGAAAATGAAGCGTGAACTGTCAAGCAAAAATGCCATGTGGCTGACGTCAAATTTTCTCTCATGCATTGACGACATGTCACCATCTTCCTTGAACTGTCTAGGATGCTGTCTGCCTGCTTATGTTCTTCTATGAAAAATGTTACTCCATCAAATTTATTCAAATTTACCTTACAATGTCCATTAGTCAAATAGGTTTGTTGATTCATCATTATATTGCTTAAATAATTTGTATAGTTTATTGCTTATATATGAAAAAAATAATGAAATCTTTTGAATGATTAACTTCTATTACGACAATGATTAAGTCTAATTAATAAAGAATAAGTTCTTTTTTGTCGATCTAGATTTAATTTTTATATTATCTATTTTAAAAGTGAAATTTTAAATATATCAAATCCATTCTAAGAAAAAAAAAAATCTAATGTTAATGGTCCTTGATATAAAGCATTAGCATCCATTAAAACAATTTTTAATACTAGAGATTAAGTTAACAGGAGAAATTAATGTATTACCTTCAAAATCTATACTCAAGATTTCCATCATTTTTTCTCCACTCAATAACGATGGCTATAAGCCATGACTGGTAAAATGTCAGCAACTAGAAGCTGCAAAATAAATAATCATTTTTAGTATTGCTATGAAAAACCCGATTTCAATACTTGTTGGTGGCCTTGCATTGGTGCTAATTTCGAATGCAAATTACTCTGATTTTTTAATGTAACTAATGTAAATTAAAATCACTTCCTCCTTTCCTTTTTATAGGGTGGTTTTTCCTACAAATTGATACTCTAGGTTTAGTGTTCATATCTCAAGTCTTACTTCACATCAGAAACATTCTCTCATCCATTTAATTAAGAAAGATACAAAGAAAGCATTAAAACATTCATGAGATAATTTGAATTTTCTTACTCTCTTTTAAACAGTATTGTAATGTCAGTGTACTAATTCGGGAATGAGTGATTCGATTCCAACTCTTTAAATAGAAGAAAAGCATGTACAAACTATTAAATCAAATATTAAGAAATTAAGAAATCCTAATCTTCTCTAGGTTAAGGGCAATATCATTTACATGTAGATCTAAGTGGAAGTCTAGCAAGAGCTACGAAACAAAAAAAAAAAAAAAAAAGTTTGTTTTTTTCTCACCAAACAAAGTTTCGTTTCATGGGTAATGGTCATAATGCATGAATTCATTTTGTTGGAAATGAACAGTTCCACTAGGAGTAAATATTATAATTTGTGACAGATTCTTTTATAAAAAGAACAAAGGAAACTTCCTAGATATTTCAAAACATCATCATGTGGAAGAAATGATAGCCAAATAAGAGAAATGTTTTGTTGTTTTCCTGCTTTACTTTCCTTTCTATTATCTCCCCTCAACGCAAGTAAACAAATATGGCAAAAGAAAAACAAAAAACAATAAATTCTATTTACTGGCTTGGTCCATAAACCTTCAAAATCATCACCATCCCTTGTGAGGCCTGGAGATACCAGGCCTAAAGTTTTGGGACTAAGAAACCGTTTAGTGGGCCTTGATATCGGCTATAGCCTGTCTCATTCTCACTTTTATCACAGTATTTACCATTTCGTGCTCCGACTGACATGAGAAAGCTTTCAGTCCACAATCCTAAAAAAGTTCCAATTATTTCAAAATAGAAAAATATTAGAATTCTTTGGAAAAAATCCAAATTTCTTCAGAATATTTAAGTCTTTAAAGCATATTGTTAATTAAATATTACACGAAGTCAAAACATCTGTCAAAAACATCAACAACTGAATGTAGTTAGGATTCTACTCAGATTTTCTGAACTTGAGTTTGGTATCTCTAAGCTTGTACACTTTGCACAATACCCAATCATCAAGCTGAAAAAAATAAGCAAAATATAATTAATTGATAATTAAGCAATAAAAATATTCAAGGAATAAAGATAGAATTTTAAAATAACATCAACTGATAAAAGTAGAGATATAAAATTTATGATTTAGTATAAGCAAAGGTAAGAACTAAATTACTATTCCACTTGGGCTTTGTTTGCTGAAGCACTCCAATGCAGTGAGAGGCCTTTCCATCGCATGGAAGCTTTAGTTGAGGCCGGCCAATTTTTCACTGGTTCTTTGAGCACCCATGAAAATTTGGTGTCCCGAGCTTCAATGCGGTGAGAAGATTTCTCAATAGATTTTTTTTATGGAACCTAAAAATATTTACAGAATATTGTAATGTCTAATATTTTTTAACTACATTACGTAAAATAGGTAAAATTTCACCAATTTAAAGAAATATGATAAGTTTGATCCATCACTGTAAATAAAATAGTAAATTAGGACTTTATCTTTGTAAAACAAAGTTACCTTCTGATCATCATCGCCAGCTCTTTCAGTTGCTGGAGGATTGCTTAATACAAATTCTTGCATTATCCAATTAGTCTTGTCACCCTTAGCTGGTTTCCCGTTGTAGAAGGCTAATTTCTTCTTGAATCCAACTATATTCCCTTTGAACTTAACGGGTTTTTTTGCTTCAATGGCCTTCCAAAATCCATTACCACCTACTAGCCTTGGTCTTGAGCCAGTGCCATATTTACGATCTCTTGGTGTGAAGAAATACCATTCACTCACTTGTCTTGATGACTTGTTGTTAGTCTCTTCTATCAACAGAAGAGGAAAACAAAAAAAAAAAAAAAAAAAAAAAAAACCCTTCATTCTAAAGATAAAATAATTGAAAATGTTTATATTATATTATATTTATATTCTTCAACTTCCATTTTGACATACTCATCGGTTGGTTTTAGTTTGTTCTGATCGTTCCTCTGAACGATATTAAGGACGTGCTTTCCGCATAGACTTAGTATAAAACTATTATTAGTATACTAATATCAAAACAAAATAAAAATGTCAATGACCAGGGTTAGCAAAAAGAAGAAAATAACGTAACATATTGGAGCAATCCATATATCTAAGCAAGATAATAGACTTCTCAATTATTACTAGAATTAGTTATATCTGATTCTGAAATCTTAAAAAAATTCGAAGTAAAAATAAACAAAAATATTGTAGGGTTTAAAAGAAGAATTAATCTCAATGATCATGCATGGCTTGCGAGTGCTATGAAGGAATCTTGGATGGATTGTACAAGGGCAAATATTGTATGGTTAAATATGTTAGTTTCTCCAATTTTTTTTCAAAGACAAAACACATGCATTTTTCTGATTTCAGTAAAACAAAAGAATGAAAAGAGAAAATCAAGAAAACCCAAAAAAAAAAAAAAATTAAAAGAAAAACCTGATAGTTTTATAAGAGTTTCAAGATCATAATTGTAGAATTGAATCTCCTTGATTTTGCAAGACGGCAATGGTTTTTTGTACACTTTTCTCTTCAAATAGTGTACAACAAGCTGATCATCAGATGGTTTGAAGACGTAACCAGCAGGCAAAGATTCCATTGTCGGCACAAACTCTTTCTTGTGCTCTTCCATCATACGACTCTAGGAAAAGAAATTTGGGAGAAAACAAGATAATAACTCTGATTATTATATCTATAATATCTAAAAAATAATATAGTAGATATATTTTTTAAATATAGAATTATCTTATCTTGCTAGCTACTAATCCAATCCGTAGTATAAATAGTAATCTTTACAATAAAATTAGAGTCCTAATAGATTTTGAATTGTTATAAATATTGCTATAACACTTATTATTATTATTTTGAATTGTTATAAATATATATATAATTATCTCATCTTGCTATCTACTAATCCAATCCGTAGTATAAATAGTAATCTTTACAATAAAATTAGAGTCCTAATAGATTTTGAATTGTTATAAATATTGCTATAACACTTATTATTATTATTTTGAATTGTTATATATATATATATATATATAATTATCTTATCTTGCTATCTACTAGTCCAATCCGTAGTATAAATAGTAATCTTTACAATAAAATTAGAGTCCTAATAGATTTTGAATTGTTATAAATATTGCTATAACACTTATTATTATTATTTTGAATTGTTATAAATATATATATGATTATCTCATCTTGCTATCTACTAATCCAATCCGTAGTATAAATAGTAATCTTTACAATAAAATTAGAGTCCTAATAGATTTTGAATTGTTATAAATATTGCTATAACACTTATTATTATTATTTTGAATTGTTATAAATATATATAGAATTATCTTATCTTGCTAGCTATTAATCCAATCCGCAGTATAAATAGTAATCTTTACAGCAAAATTAGAGTCCTAATAGATTTTGATTTGTTATTAATATTGCTATAACACTTATTATTATTATTATTATTTTCAAAATTTTAAAATATACTATTAATTTATTTTTATCATTGTCAAAGAAGATTTAATTTTTATGATAAATATTTCGAAAATAAAACTATGAATACGTCCAGGCATATGAAATGGTGCACCTTTAAAATTGAAAAGAATATTATACCTAGCCAAAATTTAGGGACATCTGACCTTATTACTAAAACAAATAATTATGCAAATTCCTTTTGTTGTTGTTGTTATTTTTAAAGTGAAATTGTATGTGACTTAGATTTGATTTTAAAGTATAGTTAATGAAAGTCATTATAAAGCAAATATTTTAATGTTTCTTTCAACTTAAAAAAGATTTCGTATTCTTTTTGAAAAAAATTATTTTTATTTAAAAAATTCATATTTAAATTTTAAAAATACCATATTGATGAATTTTATAATATAGTTGAACTAATCTAATTGTTAAGATTTTATTAGGTTAAGTTTAGTTAATAAAACAATTGAGTATTAATTCAAATAATATACATATTAATAAAATTTTTAAAAATTAATCGCATAGTATTATTTTTTAAAAATTAAATAAATAAAAATTATAAATTAAAGATAAACTAAATTAAAAAAATCTAATCATCAAATTCCTTCTAAAAGTTTGGTCCTCAAAATTGGCATTTCAAATGATAATGTCACTTCTGCTTTGGATTTGTTATTAGATTTAGATGCGTCCCTTAGCTACCAAACTTCCTAAACATCACACCAAAAAAACAAAGAGAATTTATTGCCTAATGTTCCTTTTTTTTCAATGGAAGAACTTATTATTATTATTATTATTATTATTATAAAACTTTGCACCAACCAACATTCCCTTGACATCAACGGTACTCATTTCTACAAATTCTGACGTGGCTGGCTTAAAAAAAGAAAAACATTAAAATAAAATCCCAAAAATTAATAAAAAACTATAAATAAAAAATTTCGAATTCCTTTACCTTTCCAACCAAACATCCCATTTCTACGTCAGAAAACATTCCCTTGACATCAACGGTCCTCATTTCTACAAATTCTGACGTGGCTGGCTTAAAAACGAAAAACATTGAAATAAAATCCCCAAAAATCAATAAAAAACCATAAATAAAAAATTTCGAAGTCCTTTTCCTTTCAAACCAAACACCCCAACGTTCCCGGAAATCGACGGTCCTCATTTCTACAAATTCTGACGTGGCTGGCTTAAAATGGAAAAACATTAAAATAAAATCCCCAAAAATCAATAAAAAATTAGAAATAAAAAATTTCGCATACCTTTACATTTCAAACCAAACGTCCCCATGTGAAAAAACTGAAAATGAAACTATTTTCGTACAAAAAAAAAATCAATTTTCACTTTAAAAGCTTTTAGTTCACCAGGTTTAAGCCAAAACTGCCAAAGCCATTGTTGTCTTTCCACTGAAACACGTCAACAACAGTAATAAACAAACAACAAATATAGTTGAGATTCTCTGCAGAAATCGCGAGTTTTTTTTTCTTCATCAGGTTACTTTGCAAGGTTTCCAAAATGATGGAGGAGAAAGACAAGTACGGTAAAGAGTTGGATTTGGCTGTTAGAATTGTGCATATGGCCTGTTCTTTATGTCAGAAAGTGCAACAAAGGTTGGTTTCTACTGCTTCTGAACAGGTTTTGGCTAAGGATGATGATTCTCCAGTCACAATTGCAGGTATCCATCAAACTAAAGTTTTTTTTTTTTTTGGGGGGGGGGGGGTGGAATTTGGTTTCTTGAATTGGGTCTTTTTTATTTTTGTTTTTTCTCTTTTTTCCTTGGTGGGTTTGCTTTGTATGAGATTCTTGACAATGGGTTGGTTTTGTTTTATTCTTTCTTTTTTTTTTTTTGGGGGGGGGGGGGGTGGTGTTTGAATTTGTAATGTGGTATGTGATTGGTATAGTATAAGAAAGAAAAATTTAGAGATATTTTGGAATTTAATTATAGTTTGAATTGTTGAAAATGTTCATCGGGTTTTTTGCCTGTGCCATTTTGGTGCTTCCATTTTGTAATTTTTTTAGGGAAAATGTTAAGAACAAGTTAGGATACATTTTAGTTCTATACATTTTCTTTAAAAGGAAAACATTTTCTTTAAAAGGAAAATGTTAAGAACTCTGTTCCTTACTGCTGAATTGGTATCTTTTAGGGATTTTCAAGTGGAAAACTTAAGAGACGTGGTAGGTGTGGGAGGTGAAGATGAGTCATTGTTCTGATCAGTTTTGATGGGATACCAGGTTATAATTCAATTGCAGTTTGTATCGGTTGGCTGGCATTATTGAAAGATGAATAGGAACTCCATTAATATCCTTATTAATTGCAATCGTCCATGTATAGGTGATCCTTTGAAATGTACAAGCAGTTGGGGATCATTTAATTTGAAAATACTACTTGTTTGTTCTGTTTCTAGAGGTCCATATTAATTTGCATTGTTTAAATTCTAGGTTGTGTGTTTTTTGTTATTTATGCAAGTAAACTGAAATGTTGGGGGAGCTAGGGTGGACCTTTGCTGATTGAAAGGTTAAAGGACTCTGAAAGAAATTGATGGGAGTTAAGCTGAGAATTGATGTTGAATGCAAATTATGCCAATGGTATGCTAACTGAAAGAACTGCAGGCATCGGTGCTTGTGCATAATTGCAATTGCTTGCTCATAATTGCAATTGCTTGCTTAAACATGCTCTAGTTTAGTGAAAACTGTTAGAGGTTTGACTGATATAGATGATGCTACAATGTCTTCTAGCTTAAATTTCTAATGTGGTTTTCGAAAGCATGGAGTTTGTTTCTTTTACTTAATGAAACTTTTTCATCTAATTGTGTTAGTTGTAGCAGGGTGTTTGTGCAACTATGTTCAGTTCACCAATTCTTTTGATTGTTTCTATGTTAACAGACTGGGGTGTCCAAGCAACTGTTAGTTGGCTGCTTTCAGAATTCTTGGAGGGTCAGAACGTGTCCATTGTTGCTGAAGAAGATGTCCAAACTCTCTCCAAGTCTGATGCAGCAAATTTACTTGCAGCTGTTGTGAACACGGTAAATGAATGCTTGGCTGAAGCACCGAAGTATGGCCTTCAGTGTCCTAAGAAAGCTCTTGGGACTTCAAAAATCCTTGAGGCTATTAGCCTATGCAACTCAAATGGGGGGCCAACTGGAAGACACTGGGTTCTTGACCCCATTGACGGCACATTAGGATTTGTACGTGGTGATCAGTATGCTGTAGCGCTAGCCTTGATTGAGGAGGGGAAGCTAGTCCTTGGAGTTCTTGGGTGTCCTAACTACCCTATGGAAAAGGAATTGTTAAATTATAATCATCAGCGCCTCCAAACTGTGCCTACGTCTCCGACACCTTCTGACATTTGGGAAAAGGGATGTGTGATGTATGCTAAGAGAGGAAGTGGTCAGGCATGGATGCAACCATTGATCCACGGAGATACAAAATTTGAATGGCCAAATTCTGCTAGACTGATACAGGTTTCTCCCGTTGATGATCCATCTCTGGCAACGTTTTGTGAACCTGTGGAGAAGGCAAATTCAAACCAGTTGTTTACAGCGGGACTTGCTAACAGCATGGGTATCAAGTAGGTTACTTTTATTTTTAATTCTAGTTTACTTTTAAATTTTTATCTGTTTCCTTCACTTGATGTGTGAAATGAACAAAATTACATTAAAAAGTTGAGTGCTCTTATAAAAATGTAAACCAAATGGACAATTTCATTTCTGAGTTTCCTGCTAGTTATAAAGTTAAAGAAATTGAATGCCTTCTTCGCTCAGTTTCTGAAGGTTAGAAAATGTTAATATGTTAAAGGATTAAACTAGAATGTTGGTTGAGATTATATAGTTTTAATGTGGCAATATGATATTTTTATTTGATTCTAATATATCTTTTCATACAATCTAATGGCAGAAAGCAACCTATGCGTGTCCATAGCATGGTCAAATATGCAGCAATAGCTCGTGGTGATGCTGAGGTTTTTATAAAGTTCGCAAGATCTGGGTATAAAGAGAAGATATGGGATCATGCTGCTGGTGTTGTCATTGTAGAAGAGGCTGGTGGGGTTGTAACGGATGCAGGAGGTATCCCTCTGGACTTCAGCAGGGGACTGTACTTAGAAGGTCTTGATCGGGGAATCATTGCTTGCTCTGGACCCACACTGCATAATAAAATCATCGGGGCTGTGTATGCAAGCTGGGACTCTTCTAATCTATGAGACTTTCAGTATCTTGCCAATACACTAATACTGGAGTAGTATGGTAATTTTATAAGGGTAAGCTCATCACAGAAATTAGCATTTCAAGTCATTCTGCATCTTTTTGATATCATGCGATTTGAATGTTTTGCACCATGTTTTCAGGTTTAGTGAAATATTTCTGTAACTAAGCTAGGCCTCGTAGAGATTCAAATTTTAGCTGTTGTAGGAAATTTCTTGAAAATGCTTTAAGAAATGAACCCACCGACATTCCTTGTTCTTTCTGAAACTATTCAGAGCATAATATCTCTACTTTGAATTCTCTGTCAATGAAATTTCAGCTTTGAACTTGTTGGAAATTTGAAATGAATATATTGCTAAAGAAGGTAGTTTGTACTTGTCAGTTTTACATCCATTTGCCCCTTGACATTGTTAAATAGATCTTTACTGAAATGTCTTCGTTAAACTGTTTCAGGGCAAGCAAATTCTGAGAAGGATGTTGATGGCAGAAACACAATAAGAACAAAAAAATGATTTGGACGGTGCTTTACACCTTACCTGAGAATTGTCTACTGAAATATGGATGTCGAATTTTCCAACGTTTGATCAGTGATGTTGCCTTCGGCCCCCATCTTACAAATGTAGTATTGCTCGATTATAATTATCAATAACCCTGTTACGATAGTTTTTGAATGGAAATTTTGCTATCAATAATACAATCATCACACTAGGGATGCTTTCAGACGAGAAGCTTAAGCTGCTTGATGCTTCTGTGGTATGCTAGCTTAGGAACTGCTACAAAAATTCTGGATGCAAACTGGTACATGATTCGGATGCTTCCTGGAAATAGATATACGTTCTCTTTTATGTTTCACAAATAATTAGATAGAAGTATTTTCTTCTTCATCATCATAGTTGTTAAATAATGTTAATTTAAATCTTTTAAAATTACTTTGAGTTCAGATTTTCTATGTTGAAAATTAAATCTAGAGTTAATGTGTGTCTAAACCTTATCCCAAGTCAATCACCTAGTAGGATATAAAAATATCGTTTGAGTTGATAATCCTGGAAAGTTGAAACTCTTCATCCCAACTCAATAATTATTTGATACACTTTCCTGGTGACAACGAAACCCGTTTAGCTAGTTAATCTAAACTTGGCTTCTCCTATAATCTTTTTAAGATGTATTTTCTTTTTTATATTAAACATTCATATCATTTCGTAAGATACAGATATCAATTAAATTCGTCCTGTTTATATCAGAATCATATTTGAAACAGTGTGCATTTTACCTCAAACTAATTCGTGCGAATTTGCAGTCATTTATAATACATCAACATGGATGTGCTCATTGTATAGAAAACAGAATAAAATTACGTAAATCATTGTTCTGACAGCTGCTTCAGCCTCATCATTAAGAGCTAGTTGTTAAGCCAATTGACAAATTGTTTATTGAGAAAAGTATCCTCAGGGGTAATACAAATGATTAAAGTCATCTAATATAAAATTCAAACAATGGTAATTAACAATATGCCTAATGCTTAGGGAATTCTAGGTTCCTATTAAATTTACATGACTTCACTAATCATTTCCCTTGAAAGCTGTGCAAACAAAGATAAAAGAATAGAACAAATTACGGGGGCGATTTAAGGCCAATTAGTAGTAAGCATTACATTAGAAGAGGCAGGCAGGAGCCACGATCCTTTCAAATATTTTTACTTCTTCCGTTATATAATGATTAGTCTCATCTAATTACCGTTTTGATTTCTTTTTTTTAATTATTATTTGATCCTTCCTTCATCAATTTTATACTTCCGCCCGCTAGTTAATTGAAGACTATAACTTGATGTTGAACTTTTTGGATTGCTTCTGAAATTCTATAATGGAATTTTGAAGTTAAAATTGTTATACTACCTAGCAGTAATTCAAAATCGGAGTACACCCTGATTCATTACTTCAAATCAAAGGGCTTGTAGGAATATTGGTAACAACCGAATCAGGGGGACTGAAATCTATATATCTAAATGTTCAAAGGATGGGAATGGATAGAACGAATTATTTTCCAAATAAATTAACAAAATGCATTGCAAACTTTTAACCAGTGTCAAATGGCACGGGTTAGGAATCTGTCCATGGGCCTTCTAAAGTACTCGCCCAAGGTTTGGTCAAGCCTGTTGGATTTTTAAGGCTCGATTTTTAAAAAAATATTAACAATAATAATATTTTACTAATTTAAATAAATTTTAAAATTAAAATTAAATAAAAAATAAAATTTATTAATATTTAACTATCTTAAACTAAATTGAAAAACTTTATCTGAATCTTAATTCAAATCGAGCCAAATTTATTTTATCAAACGAATTATTTGTCTACAAAAAAGATATAGATTAAGGTGATATTTAAAAGAAATTATAATTAATGTGTTGTTTTTTATTTAATATAATGAAAATAGCATATTAAATGCATAACTAAACCAATACCCATAAAAACCCATTAACCAAAATTTAAAATTTAAGCTAAGTAATGTAGTCATGCGGTGCAAAATTCATGGTTAAGCCATCCTAAGATAGGGGGCTAGGCTACTGGATTGACTATTGAGCATGATCATTAATCTTGGAAAATCGGTCCTTCATATAGGGACAAATGTGCTACTATAACTCTATAAGCTAAAAGAAACCAATCCAAACTACATTATTGTTTTTTTAAAAAAATGTTCATAAAGATATGACAAGGACCCAAAAGAACCTGCCCATTCCTCTCCAAATCCACTTTCTAGATATGGGCTGCAACTTGGAAAATTAACAAACGCCAGCAAAAATATTTATTACGCTTTTCTCCACTTTAAATTTTAATAGTCTTTGTTGACAAAATATTATGCCTAATTTCATGTTTAGACTTTAGTTTATCTTTTATATTATGATTAAAGTTTGAATTCGAAATTTTCAATCGAAAAATTGATTCCAATACCACTAATTAACAGCTCGATTTTCACATTGTTAAAAAGAGTGATATACATAAGTCAATGTTAGGTTTGATTCTTGAATTGATATATTTATGGGTTAGGTAATGTACAACACATGTTTTTCCAAATTTATTTAAAGCTTTTAACATGATATAAATAATCTCACTGATATGGGCCCTGTCATCTTTCTAAGTTGTAATCTACTGGCCAGGGAAAATGAGGGAAAAATCCAAATTAAGATCTCTTCAATCCAAGTGTTAGAATTTCTTCCTCCTTCAATAGGAAATTCTCCCGCCCACAGATTGGTGATTTTGCATTTTTGCTAATATTAAGCTCTTTTGACTATTTATTTTTAGCTTAACTTAAATAGATCAATAAGACCACAACAAAAATTAATGGAGTTGGTAAGAAAATGAATTGCTTCTTCTTGTCAACTGAGATTAGATAAAATATTTTGAAAATAAAATTTTGAATACAATGCAAATATACTTTTAAAATCGCTAGAAATTTAAGATACTGATTTTTACTACTTAACTGTGCATTTAGCCTATCTAGAATGGTAATTTTTTATTTTTATTAAATCGATATTGAAAAAGTATTATGTAAATTTAAATCGCTATAGAATTATTCAAGAAAAAGAAGATCGTGATATAAAATAAAGTGGACCATTGAAATGGTATTAGTATTTTCTTTAGTACAACTTAGAAATGATTTCAGAAACCCAGAAAATGAAAAGTTCAAATTTTCCTTTAAATTGCATCATTGAGTTTATATTTTAAAATTGAAAGAGAACTAATCAAACCATCAAAATGGAGTGCTAACCAAGTGAAAATTCCTTGGATAGGGGATGAATCATCTCACTTATGACCTGTTCATCTAGAGAAAAAAAAATTATATCTCTATTCAATTGGTTGATCTCACATACGACCTCTTCGTCTAGATGGAAAATATATATATACATTTGATGCTGGCATTGGTTGATTCATTTTCAACTTCAGTTAATTGTATTCAAAAAGTAAAGTTCGAATCTTTTGTTCTCAAATTAAAAAAAAAAAAAGTTAAAATAATTATGGTTTGTGCCATTTACATGGTGTTGAGTCAATGGAAAATGATAAATATATAGTAGTTTATAATCCTTAAGGTATCAAAATAAATAAAGAAAAGTATAATGCTAAAGTTACGTTCGTATATTTTTTTAATAATATCTAGAGCTTCAAACTGGGCAAGAAATTTAAATATTATAAAAATACATTAAACAAACCTGTCCGGATAATGCATAGATAAATAATCTTAGATTTGGTCATATTTGAGAGCTAAGAACTATGAGTGCCGACAGTTCCCCATGTTCAATGCCACTGTCATCCAATTTTGACATCAACATCATATGCAGTCCGTCTTTAAGAAGGGAGGAGGAAAATAAAAGTTAAAAAATTAGAGCCTTTCTTTGAATTTTAATGAAAATTTTGGTTATTTCATTTTTCTACTGCTTTGATTTTTTTTTCTTTTTTTTTTTTTAGTGTCTTTGTTATGATAGATGACTTTAAGTATTTCCTAAGTGAAAGCGATTCCGTGCAAATTAATTAATGTAATGAGAAAAATAATGAAAAAAAAAAAAAGCCTAAAGTTGAGTTGGCATTGGGCATGTGCTCCATTGCATTATCTAGACGATGAATTATATACAGAATTGAGGTTCAATTCAGGTCTTATAATTTTTTAATTAAATGGGAGGTAAATTATTTATGGGTCGGGTTATAAAATCTCTTGTGTAAGGCACGACTCATCATGTTTGATTATTATTTAAAAATTTTAACAATTATTTTTTATATTAATATTTTATATATTTAATAATTATATTTAAATAAAAAATATTTTTATTAAACAATGATTCAAGTCAGATCAAGTTTGGGCTCCACAACTCATGTCTTCTGGTTGAAATTGAACCTAAAGACTTGGCCAAAGGGACAGGCATGGCATGACCTCCTCAAAAAAATTTTAACACCCTTATATGTAATATGTATGGTACTCTTTCTCTTGAAATTTATTATGTGACCTTCTTCTCCCATTGAATTTATTATTTGGCCCCCCTTCTCTTTATGCCTGATTTCGACTTTGATTAAATTCGACTTACAAGTAACCTAATTCATGGATAGATATAGTGGAGATATTTGTTTCAATAAATTTCAATAAAAACAATTTAGATATTCATAAAAAAAAAAAAAATGAAATACATAATGTTTTAATAACTCTATATGAGGTAGGCAATACTTGAACATGCATGAACTCAAAAAATTGTTTCTCTCTCTCCAAACATAATCAAGAAGAAGCGACACTTTTCTAACGTTGCAAGAATGAAATATTATGATTTAACCTGTCATCTTGATGTTACAATTAATCTTATTCGTTACATCTATAATAATTATTGTTCATATTTATTATATTAATGCGGCCATAAAAGTAATAAATAGAAGTCCAATTATCTTTTTCATCAAATTCATTTTTAAAATTTTTTTATTTAATTTATCTGTTAGGTTAAAAGCCTCCAATCCAATCACATCAGTGGAAGCGAAATCAAATAATAAATCAAATACAAAAAAATAATAATTTAACGTGGTTCGATCTAACTAACTTACATCTACTGATGAGAAATAAAATCCACTAATTGTAGAGAATTACAAACTTACATCCAATCATCAATCTTACTCAACAATCAATACTCATAAGACACTTTCAATCTCCTATAGTCTTATGGAGTATTCTCAATCCAAACAAACACAAATTCAAA